TATTATAGAGAGAGAAATTTCTTCTTTCAATTTATTGTTCTTCTTGAACAATCTTGGAACTTATCAAGATTCAACTTTTTGTGACGCTCTATCAATCAGATTGTGGGTTCTTTTAATTGTAATCAAGGGGTTTTAGGTTCTTTGCTAATCTCGGGTTTCTTGGTTCAATTCTTGGGGTTCGAGATCCAAAATCGGGTTAGTATTGACGTTCTTGAGTTCCGCATCAATCTCGTTGTGGGTTTCGTAGTTTCCATTGCTACGGGGTTCGCATCACAAACCCTCATCATACTCCCCATTCCTTGGAATGTCAATGAATTGCTCGAATTAATTATGGGAAACTCGAAACTCTTGCAACAATTACAGTCTCCATCCGATTTAGATATCACAATTCTGAAAAATTATCATTAGTATTACTACTTCAATTATGAATCAACGAATTATGAATATTGGAAGAGCTCTGGCTGGTGTTCAAGTGATTCGAAGAGGTGAATTGATTTAATCACTACAATAAATTTATGCTTTCCCTGCAAAATTTTCCGTTGACAAATTGAGATTTGAAGGGAGTTTACTTTTTTCCTACAAGTTGCTTCAAAATTTTTAATATTAGAGGATTTGTGCCTACAAAAATTTAGATTTTCTCCCAACAAAAAATTTGACTGGCAAGATATATATTTTACTGACAAAAATATTTTACATATTTGTAGGCTAATAATTAGAGGGAAAAATTTTCGGTTCTCTCCTCCCTTTATTTTTAGCCCACTTTTGACATCAAGTGAAAAATAAATGAAAGAAAAAGCAAAAATTAGAATTGTTTCCCTAATTCAAAAATATAAACCCTCATAGAAAACCCACGTAAGATTTTCCCTCTCTGCCTCCAAAACTTTTTCACCAAATAATTCCACTAGTTTAATTGCCCAAACCTAATTCCAATTTTCTCACTCTCCAAATTTCTTGCAAAATCGTGGCTGTGATCTATTTTTTTTCTCCTGGACATAATATTCATTTGGGTCAAAAAAATCCAGCTGAATCGACTACAAATTTTGAGCTCTTCAAGTCGCCTTCAAGGTATGTCAATCAATCCTACTATTAATTTGTAAATTGTGTAGAAAATATAAATACATAATCTTGAATTTTGAGATTACTTTTTCAATTTCTTGCTATTGAAAAGCAAATAAATATGAAGGTTGTTCTTCTGTATGAATTTTGAGATTACGTTATGAGATTTGGCATATTTTGAAGTTGTGCTCTTTAGAAAAAGAATTGTTGTTTTGCATATGGATTGTTCATTTGTTTGGTTGGATGCTAAGATATGTATATAAGGATGAATGGCTCTCTATGGGAACACTATATTACAAGACAGAAACATAAGCATATTGGGCTATTCCTTGCAAGTACATTTTTTGAAATTAAGATGAAAATCCTTTCTGTATCTTTTCTGCAATCTTACACAGATTATTTTACATTTTGAAGTTCAGAGTAAATGATGAACAGACTATAATTTTCTTGTCTTCATGTGCAGAATATACATCAAGGTTACCCAACGGAGAATTTGGTGAGGTTTCTCAAAGCAGGAGATGGGAATGTATCCGAAGCCCATAAAATGGTTTGAAGATTCCAATTGTAACAATCTTTTTTTCCTTTTTTTAAAGAATACGTTGATGTATGTTCATTGTTTCTTAGCAGTTGTACCCCATGTTTTTTCCAGCTTGTCAACTGCTTGAACTAGAGTTACAAAACGATATTGACAATATATTGGTTGTGAGTTCTGATGATCTTGTTCTATGAAGAATGTTAAGATTTCTATTTCCTTATAATTTGGTATCTGCACATATTAGATTTGATCAGGCCATGTTATATTTTTGGTTAGACTGTGGCATTGTCCAAAATGGCTTATCTTTAGCCATGATCATATTGATAATGAACGATTATCAATATGGAAAAACATTTTGACCGAACATGTGGAAAAACTTTTGAAAATCATAGGGTTCTTTGTAAATTCCCGCAGAGAGCCATTCATCCTTATATACATATCTTAAGATTCTTGATAAATATAGCAAGCTGGCATTTAGAGGCAGCAAGTCTTGGCGAGAAAAAAACTAATAAAATTAAGGTCCTTTCTCATGCATAGTGGAAGAGATGGCTGAGGTAGTGAAATTATATGTTATCAACATGTACTTAATTAATTATAATTGCTAAGGATTTGAATATAGTATTTGAAACATGGATTTTTTTTATTATTATGATGGTTACAAGTTTCCTGAAGTCGACACATTTGAGTCTGCTTATGCAGGAAAGAACAAGTTTTGAACTTATAATGTAGTAAGAAAGACTCAACACTATAACTTTGTTTTCTTTATCATGTTTTTCTACCAGCTTAGACACAAAAAAAAATTGCAAAGTTAGATCAATAGAGGCTAGAAAAATTATCATTATGTTAAGTAGTATCACAATTTTTGTATGATTTTGTTGTGGCTATTTTGGAAGTGGACATTGGCATGGTCAAAATATTTTAGAGAATCGATTATATCTCTTGGGTTTTGCTATATCTTTTGTGTGCACTTGCAAAATTTCACTGTGGTGGCAATCGGACAGTAGTCATATACAAGACTAGCTAACAAAATTGTGCTTTAAAGTCTTTTCTGAATTTCTGTGTTCGGCTGTACTTCAAAGACCAACTTTCTGGTAAGGTACGTTTCGTTAGTAAAGAAAGTAACTTTGAAAATCGTTTTCGACTTACTTTTGAGTAAAATCAAAAGGTCCGAAACTTAAAAATGAATTTGGTGAATTGCTGAGCATTGGTATGAATACAGGTGGGGTTTTTCTTCTTCTACTTTGGATTTTGGGGCTTCTATCCTCTCTTCCAAGCAATTTTCACGTCTCCCCAAGAGCATATGATGCTACAAAAAGAACGATCTTCTGGAATGTACCGCCTTTCATCATACTTTATGGCACCAACTTCAGGCGATCTGCCAATGGAATTAATCCTCCCCACAGTGTCACCATAACCTACTGGATGGCAGGCCTAAAAGGACAGCAATGAATCTTCTGTGCAGCTTATTCGTTCTCCTCTTCAGCGTGTTATGTTCTCATGGCCTCGGACTCACCATTGGAGCACTGGTCATGGACCAAAAATCTGCGACCATACTTGGATCGGTTATCATGATTTCTTTCCGTCTAGCAAGTGGTTTTTATGTCCAACATGTTCCCAAGTTTATAGGATTGATCAAGTTTATATCTATAAAAAATCCATGTATAAAAAATATTGTACATTAATATTTGGATGATGATCACTTGAAGAATATTGAGCTATCAACCTGGTCATCTGATAATATATATGTTTTGCTCATGTTACTTTATTTCATGGAATATTATTTTGAAGGAATTACATTATTTCAGGTGGTTCCCTTTTTCTTTTTGACTGGAAGGTGCTGAGCTACTTCTGGAAAGATTGCTATAATTAGAGAGAAGAAAGATGGAAAGGCAGTGAAGGAGGCTCATGAAAGGCTCAAGGTATGTGCTGGATGATATTTCTGTGCTTTATGGACTTCAAGTTTATGCTGATTAAGTTGTTAAACGTGTAGGTTTAAGATATCAATCTGTCTTCTAGTGGCCCATTTTATTGAAGGTGTTCAAAAATGATATCAATCTGTCTTCTAGTGGCCCATTTTATTGAAGGTGTTCAAAAATAATTCAGATTTGAATTATAATTTTTTTTTGGGGTAAAATCTTGCAATTTTGCTGGCATATGTATCATTTAAGATTTCCCAGAGTTATGAAATCTGTGTCCTTATCTATACTTGCATTGGAAGACCTTGAATGTATTATTCTTTGAATGGTTGAGTTTCCTGATTAATTTAAATGTAGTATGAATGATGGGGGCTGTGGAAGGGGAGGCAGTTTGGGAATATCAAAAGAAGACATCCCCGGTATGAAGTTATAACGAAGGAAATTCACGTGATTGTTAATACTAAAACTTTGATAAAAAATTTCTTTCCTTTATTGATCTCATTCTTTTTCATTTCTTTTTTTTGTAATGCTCATATGGATGTCACAAAAAGGAAAGCCGAAGTACGTGTCACTTGCTATTCATCCAAATTACAACAAATGGAAGCCCATCTCCTCATGGGCAAGGACAACACTCTAATCAAATTACACATTATGTTTGAACACCCTTTACCGCTCAATCTGGTGTAAATAGGTTCACAACTAAATCTAGGTTGAAGTTACAATTTATTTTTGTGGTAAAATATTAGGCATTTTGGGTTATGTATTGAATATTAGTATCTGTTATATATGCAATACAATCTTATTTCGGTAGCGAAATGTTTCTTGTTAAAGTTATTTATTTTTTAATTCTTGAAAGAGCTAATTTCAACTGTCCTTGTGGTTGTTCAAATTTGAAACAATAGACAAAATATGAGTAGGAACAAATAATATTGGCTATTAAAAGATTAGTGTTCACCGACCAAAGATTGGTTGCAAATGAGTGTAAATTAACCAACTTCAAAATCCATTACCGACCAAGAATTGGCTGCTGCACCATATGTATAATGCGACCACAATAAAGTGGTTGCTGGATGTCTATATTAGTGACCAATTATTAATCACTCTATCCACATATATAGCAACCACAGGGCCTTGGTCGCTGGATGTCATCTTTTACCAACCACTAAGTAGTCGCTGCAAGATATGCATATAGCGACCACGTATTATTGGTCGTTGAACTTTATATATTAGCGACCAACTATTGGTCGCTGAACCGAATATATAGCGACCATTCCTCCTTGGTTGCTGGATCTCTTATAATAGTGACCAATCCAGTGGTCGCTACACAACTCGTAGCGAATACGAATAAGCCTACTAGCAACCAGTTATTGGTCGCTGAAGACCATCGCCGACGGTCTAATATCGACCAGTCAGCGACCACTGTTTTTTGGTTGCTAGAGACCTGTAGCTACCAAATAATGACCTTCAGCGACCAATTTTTTTGGTCGTTGGACCCTTTTTTTTT